TAAACAATATTTTACTTACAGTAGAATATATTTTTAAATTTCAATCCTTTCAAAACTCTGCTCCTTCTTTTTGTCAACTAAGCTTATATAATATTCTAAACCCTTTGTTTTCATTTCAGCAATGTCCACAGCAACTTCACCAATAGCAGATTGTATCTCAAGAAAGCACTTCACTTGCTCTTCCTCAGACATTAGAATTTTATCATGAGATGATGGCACTTCTGTCATACCTTTAAGACCCACTTCGAATTCTCATCCCCTTGCTGTTTCCACCACACCTGCAGCTATTTCCTCCACTGAAGTCTTAACCCCTCAAAGTCATCATGAAGTTTGGGAACAACTTCTTCCAATTCCTGTTAATGTTAATATTTTGAATGACTTCCATGAGTCAGGAATGTTCTCAATGGCATTTTGAAAAATGTATCATTTCCAGAAGGTTTCTCTACTTACGTTGCCCAGTTCCATCACAGGAATCAGTATTTATGGCAGCTTATAGCCTTATGAAATGTATTTCTGCAATAAGATTTAGAGCTTAAATTACACCTTGACCCAGAGGCTGCAGAATGGACATTGTGTTAGCAGATAAGAAAACAGCATTAATCTCTTTCAGAGCTCTCAGGTGAACAGATGCATGGACAGTGAGCAATAATGTTTGAAAAGAATCTTTTTTCTGAGCTGTATCTCTCAATAGGGAAGTTCAAATATTCAGTAAACCATGTTGTAAATACATGAGATGTCATCTAGGCTTTGTGATTCTATTTATGCAGCAAAAGCAAAGTAGATTTAGTATAACTTTTGTCCATCAAAACACAGAATAAGGGGCTGGAGATTTAGCTCAGCAGCACAGTGCCTGCCAGGCAAGCGTGAGGTCCTGAGTTCGATTCCTGGTACTGGAAACAAACACCCCCCCGCTAAAACCCACAAAAAAATGCCAAAAAAAACCCAACATAAAAACATAAAACAGAAAAACCAATTCCATTCTAATTGTAGCAATAAGAAAAATGTATAAAAGGATTAGACTACAGAATAAAGATATATTTCAATTTTTTTTTTGAGACAAGGTCTCACTGTGTAGTTCAGGCTGGCCTTGAATTCACTATGTAGCCTAGGCTGGCCTCAAACTCATGGGGATCCTCCTGTCTCAGCCCTTCAAGTGCTGGAATTAGAGACATGCACCACCATGCCTGGCATCAATGTTTTTAAGAAAAAGACAGACAACCTATAGTGAAAAAGGTAAAAAATAATAAGCATTTTACACAGGAGGAAATAATTAGCTTAGAAAAGATAATTAGCTTATTTGTTAGAAAAATAAAAATATCAAGGAATAAGAAGACTGAAAAAATAACGTCAAAAGACGTCCTTGATAAAGGTCTCTTATCCAAAAAAGAATTGTTAAAAATTCAATGATAGGAAAGTGAATAGCTTGACTAAAAAATGAGCAGAAGATCTGAATAGACACTTCTCCAAAGAAGATGCCGCGATGGGAAAGAAACATGAAAAATGCTCAGCACTGTGTGTCACCAGGGAATTGCAACTCAAAACAAGGTACTACTGGACATTTTTTAAAATAGTGAAGACACAGAACATTGACAGGAATGTGGAGCAGTAATAGCTCTCGTGCGTTGCTGGTGGGACTACCAACGGATATAACTTCTTTGGAAGGTAGCTTGGCAATTTCTTAAAGTACGACACATGATATGAGGCAGCAATTGTGTTCTTTGATATTTACCCAAATGAGTTGAAAACACATGTCAACACGAAGATGACATATATGTTTATGGCAGATTTATTCATAATTGCCAAAATGCTGAAGTAACCAAGATATCTTTCCACAGGTTATGGGTAAATTGTAATATACCCATGCAATGGAATATTAGTGCTAAAAAAAATGGATTATCAAGCCATGGAGGAAAGTAACTCAATGTACATAGCTAAGTGAAAGATACTAATCTGAAAGGTTATGCACTATATTATTCCAACTATTATGACACTCCAGAAAAGGCAGAAACTAGGCAAATAGTAAACAATCAGAAGTTGTCAGAGGTTAAAGGGGAAGGAGAAATGAGGTAGAGTAGCACAAGACTTTCAGGGCAGTAAACCCAGTCTGCATGACACTATCCATGTCATTATACCCTTGTTAAACCCACTGAATACAACGCAAAGAGTGAACCTTAAGCTCAAGTGTGGATTTGGAGTTAGCATGTGTCCGTATGGGCTCATCAGTTGTAACAAATGTGCCATGCTGGTATAGGTTGATAGTAGCGGGAGAGGCTGTGCATGTGTGAGATCAAGAGATTTGTGGGATTTCTGCTAGGTTTTTCTGTGAACCTAAAATATCTTGAAAAATATGAAAATAACATTTATTAAACAACAGCAACAACAATTAGGTGGGGCACAGTGGTGCACAGCTGTAGTCCCAGCACTCTGGAGGTTGAGGCAGAAGGATCACTGGCTTCCAGGAGTTTGAGACCAGCATGTGTAATACCCTGTCTCAACAAACAAACTACAAAAAGCAAAATGATATGTATTTTTTAAAAATCTAAAATAAAAAAGATGGCAGAGAGCAAATAGATACTACCATGAATCCATTAGATTGTAAAAAAAAATAAGCTTTAAGATATCAATATTTGTTGAAGATAGGGTATAATTTATGCACTAGCACACGTGTATTGATAAAGCTAGTTTGGCAAACAATTTGGAATTATATAATAATGTTAAACATGCACGTAGTCCATGGCCCAGCAATTCCCACAGCTGAATATATTCCCTATAGAAGAGTCCTCGGGAAACAATTGAAAATATCCTATACTGCATACGTGCCACATAAAACAATATATTCATACAGTGGAATACCAAGTAGTAAAAATAATGATCTGTCACCATGTGCTTCAACTTAGAATGATCAATTTAGAAATGTAATTCTGCACAAAAAAAGATTAAATTTGAATATCAGAAAGTATAAAATGATAATTTATTGTTTAGGCATCTACAAAATTATGACAAAGGTATAAAGAAAAGTGAGGAACTGGTTAACTATACCTACAAGACAATAGTTCCTTTAGTGGAAGGTCGGGAGTGGAGTGTGGGAGATGTATGAGACTCAACACCTCAAAGAAACTTGTAATACTCCATTTCTTATTCTGGGTTATATGTATAGAAATTCCATTTATATGCCCATAGTTCAAGCTACTTGGGAGGCTGAGGCAGTGGGATTGCTTGAGCCCAGGATTTTGAGGACAGCCTGGGTAACAGAGAGAGTTCTCTCTCTCTCTCTCTCTTTCTTTCTCTCTCTCTCTAATCCACTTATTATTCTTTAAATAGTTGTATGCAACCTTCTGTATTTATGCCATATTTTCCAATGAAAGCTTTTTTGAAAACTGAAACTCAGCTGGGTGTGGTGGTGCACACCTGTAATCCTAGCACTTGGGAGGCTGAGGCAGGAGGATCCTTACAAGTTCAAGACCAGCCTGGGCTACAAAGTGAGCTCAAGGCCAGCCTGAACTGCATAGTGAGACTCTGTCTCAAAAAGATAAATAAATAAACACTGAAACTCTAGTACTTTATTGTATCAAGCCATATTTTGGTTCATCCTCCTGCCACAGAGAAGTCTACCTGGAGTTGGAGAGACAGTGTACAATACAATGGCAGAAATTGAGACAAGGACAAAGGGACAATATGAAAATGTACTTTTGTGCCAAAACTCATTGCGGCTGAGGTCAGAACTGTCTTACTCTTTTTACATAATTTATTCTTTCCTATCACAGTTTGAATGGGGTTCCTCTTGCTGGCTATCATGAAGCCTGAATAAAGTCCTTGAAAAAGATGGAAATCTTGTTATTTGTAACCACATGGATGACAACATGAAAGACATTATGCTAAGTGAAACAAGCTGGGCAGAGAAAAATGAATTCCTCCTGACCACTCATACGTGGTATCCAAAAATCTGCGCTCACAGCAGCAGAGAGAGTATGGTTACCAGTGCCAGGGTGGTGGGGAGACCCAAGGATGCGGGTCCCGGGGGGAAACGCTCAGCTAGAAAGGAGAAATAAGTTCAAGAAATCTATTTTACAAAAGGAACATTATTAACAATGTCATGAATTCTTGAAAACTGCTGAAAGTAGAATTTTGTTTTGTTTTGTTTTTGAGACAAGGTCTCACTATATAGTCCAGGCTGGCCTTGAACTCATTTATGTGGCCGGGGCTGGCCTCGAACTCATGGCAATCCTCCTGTCAGCCTCCTGAGTTGTGCGCCAGTGAAAGAAGATTTTAAGTGTCCTTACCACAAAAGACGACAGGTATGTGAAGCAACATTTGTTAATTAGCTCACAGTTAACTTGAGTTCAATAGTCAAGATAGTGAAACTCTAACATCCTGTCAGTTTGTAACACAAGGCGGAGACTGGTAGAAGTTTAATGCTATGATGTAGCTGAGCAAAACAAATACATTAACAGTCTCTGCCTTGCTTTACTTCATCCCTTTGATACATATCATGTAACACAAAATTAGTTACGGTCTGCCGTTCCTCACTTGAACTACACTGGCCGTATCTTACTATCTCCACTACTGGGAAGCAGAGCTCAGAATAAAATAAAAGATGAGATCTTCACTGAATTGAATTAACTTCAATTACTCGTTTTGGTTAGGTAGTCTGGTTATCTAAATATTGTACCTCTAATCTCCAAATCTTTTTCCTCGGACAGACCCAATAATTATGCTTTCTTTTTTTATTGTATTATCTTCATCCCAATATGGAGAATACAGGTTTTTGGCTAGAGATATGGAAAAGTGAGTGTAGATGGAATACATTTTCATTTAATTTTTCAGGTTTCCTAAGTAGTATAAACTCTTAACTAGATTGGATAATTTAAACTTGGCTCCATATTATTGTCCCTCAAATTAAACGACAACAGTGGCTATCCCACCCTTCAAATGTAAAGACTGATTCAAATGACATAGTATAAAAACTTTTTGAAAAGATTGCTATAAAATATACACTTTACCTGTGATTGGAATCTTCCAGTATGAAAACTTCGAGAAATGAATACACTCTGAGAATGGGGCTTAGTTTGCACCTTTGGTGGTCTTTGCCTGACTCTTTCATCTGCTGCTTTAAAGCTAGAATTTTGAAATATTTTTCTGAAAAATATTTTATAGAGATATTATAAACATGAATTGGATTAAAAGCTAAGTAAAATCATTTTTCTAATATTTAAACATAAGTATTTGAAGGTCAGAATAATATATTACAGCATATTTATTTTTAAAAGCATAAATCAATTTACATAGTTTCTCATATGTTAGATTTCATTACATCTGTTGTATTCATAGGATGTAAGTTAAGCTACTTAATTCTTACAGTCTGAATTTTTTTCTTTTTCTTTTTTAGTTTTTTGAGACAGGGTCTTGCTATGTAGCCCAGGCTGGCCTTGAACTCACAGCAATTCTCCTGCCTCAGCCTCCCTGAGTGCTGGGATTACAGGTGTGTGTCACCACGCCTAGCTCACCCATTTGAATATTAATCAGGAGTCATGATATACTTCCCTGTGGGAAATCTCAATTCTACCTGCAAAATATATCCCAGATCCAACCCCTTCTTTTCATTTCCTCTATGTTCATATTAGTTTAAGACACTACAACCTTTCACAGGGACTAAATCACCTCCTGTCTCCCTGCTTTCATTCTTATCCCATTAAAATTTTGGTTTCACAGAGAAATAAGAAATATTTTTTTAAAGACATAAATCAGAACTCTCATATAATACATTCACTTTGGAAAGCCTCTGCAATTTCTTATAAAGTTAATCACATGATCTAACAATTCTACTGTTAGATCTTTTTTTTTTTTTGTTAGATCTTTACCTTAGAAAAATGAACACATGTGTAAAAGATTTATACAAGAATATTCATGATAGCCATTTTCCAAATGGCTAAAAACTGGAAATGACCCCAATGTCCATTAACAGAATAATTGATAAACCAGGATATATTTATTTATACAGTGAATTACTACTCACCAGTAAAAACAATGAACTATGTTTAAATACAACATAGATGTTATATTTAAATATTATGATTAATAATATTTGATTATTATAATAATAAAAAATATTATGTTGAGTGAAAAAGGCAGACATAAAAAAGTCCATATAATACTGCTGAAGTCAAGAGCAGGTAAATTTAATCTATGGTGGCAAGAACCAGAATAATAGTAACTTCCCAGTGAGAAATAACTTGACAAAGTGATTACCTAAGTACATATTTGTTGAAATGCATCACAGTACATTTAAAATCTATGTACTCTGTTGTATATTAATTATGCCTCAGTTTTCTTTTCTTTCTTTCTTTTTTTTTTTTTTTTTTTTTGTCTTTTTGAGGCAGGGTCTTGCAATGCAGTTCAGGCTGGCTTTGAACTTTTGTAGTTCAGGCTGGTCTCAAACTTGCCACAATCCTACTGCCTCAGCCTCCCAAGTGCTGGGATTATAGGCATGTGCCACCATGCCTGGCTATACCCCAGTTTTAAAGCTGTGTGTGATTAATACATAAATCAGCTATAACAAGCAATATAGTCCTTAAAATGAGTATACTATTCTACCTCATTAGGCTAAGTTTAAATGAGATAACATACAAAGCACATAGAACAGTACATAGTATGTAGTGAATACTCAATGTCAGCTATTATGATGGCAATGCCATTCTTTTTAAAAACCTTCCAAGAGTGCAAACGGTAAAATCCATACAGTAGCTAGCCTACAAATTTCTCTATGATTTGGCCCTTACTGTCTCTTCCATGCTCACCACAAATGATTCAACCTGGCCTTTCTGTTAAGTGAACAATGCCAAGAGCTTTCACAAGCTGGGGCCTCTGTGCTTGCTATAGCTTTTAGTTTAGAAAGCTCTTGCGCAGGCGTTCATGTATGTAGCTCCTTCTTTTAACTCAGGTCACTGATAAAATACAAACTACACGTATATATAGGCATTCCCTGACCATGCTGCCTACTTGTTCATTATCTGTCTATACTCTATGAAATAGGAACTTGATCTGACTTGCTCATAATCATTTCCTCAGTTTGTGAAACAATGGAAGATGTGTAATATATGTGCAATATATGTTGTTAGAGAATGAATAAGTGAATTATTTCTTGCTCTTAATTTCATATGGATGGAGAGTGTGTACCTATTCATTTGCTAAGATAGGGAACACTAAGGAAGATTATATTACAATTTACAATTTTAAATATCAGACAATAGAAATACTAAACTGATAATAATCAGGAACACCAAATTTTAGAGTTGAAAAGAACTAAGTTGTCAGGTAATTTTTTTTTTTTTTTCTGTTTCTGGCAAGAGACTACTTTTGGACCATATCGGACCATTCTGTCAGTTCTCTTTTTTGTTGTTGTTTTTGACACAGGGTCTTTCTGTGTAGTTCAGGCTGCCCTTGAACTCACTATATAGCTCAGGCTGACGCTGAACTGTTAGTGATTCTCCTGCCCCTGCCCCTGCCCCTGCCCCCTGAGTGCTGGGATTACAGGCATGTGTCACCATGCCTGGCCTAGTTCTCTTCTTAAATATCTTCTAAAGAGAAAGTGTCCTCCCTTTTCAGTAATGTTTTTAATCTCTAAATTGTAAGTTGAATTTTAAAAATTTATATTATTTATATTTAAATTTATATTAGTTTTATATTATAATCAGACTGATGTTGTAGCAGAACATGCCCCACCTAAGCCAGTATACTTCAGTTTCTTAGTTGCCCAGGTAATAGCTCCTGTTCCAGTTCCAGTTGCTCCTGTCTCTTAGAAACAGCAAGTCACTGTGATGCATAACTATATATGCATCACTCTGCATATATGCATCACTATGATGCATATAGTGAGAACCAATCCTCAATTGACAAGCCATTTTGCCTCTGTACTTCCTGCTTTTTTTTTTTTTTTTTTTGTACTTCCTGCTTGCTTATCCCATCTAAGCCCTAGACCACCAGAGATCAGGGCCTGATATTCTAGGAATGATCCTGATCAGTGCCCATCAATAGAAAATAAATCTGCCCCCAAATCCTGTGTGTTGTTTTGGTGTTTCTGCTTGCCATTGCATTTGGTGCATTGGCCAGGAAAACCAACCATGCTGACCTCTTTGGTCACCAGTCTTGGCCCCTGTAGAGAGAGCAAGGACCTCTCCAGGTCTCAGTGAGAAGGTGCACCCTCAAGATTTCTCAAGTCCCCTGGGAGATCTGGAGGAGGATTCTTAGCTCCCTGCTGAGCTGCTGACATTGGACCCAAAAGGGAAGAGGATGCAGTCTGTCTGTCTGTCTGCCTGCCTGATTCTGGTAAGACCCCTAGGGGCGCCCCAGTTAATCTGTCTGTCAGTCCTGCTCAGCTTGAGTAGAAGGGGAGTCTGATCAACTCTCATTAGGCTGGACCACCCTCAAGGGAAGAGGGTTGGGATGTTTAATCTTTGAGTGCCTGCTGAATGAATGTGTGAGTGAGTGGAATGGACAGTGTAAGCAATAGGCTGCTGCATCTATGCACCAAGACTGGGAAGCACTGGTCACAGTGGCTGATTGGGCCCTCACCTGCAGCTCTGTGGTGATGGACATATGGCATAATGGAGGCCTCACACCCTCCTTACCTAGGTTGCACCTAAGTCCCCTCGAGGGGTGTGGCCAGGCAGGCATCTGAATGGTGTCTCTCTCTGAGGGGCACCTATAGTTTGTGGCACCATCATTCAAGGATACAGAACACACACGTAGGAAGTCAGCAATTAATTGGTGAAAGCCCACAGTCCCTGAGTACAGGAAAAAGGGCTTTCAGGAAGTTAAAAATGAAATCAAACTGCTCCCTGCATCTCAAAAAAAAGGAAAAATAAGCCCATTCTTCCTGAGAATTCCACCTTGGCACACTGGTCAGCCGCTGCAATTGCTACTAACACCAATAGCTTCACTCCCCGTTCCTGACTCGTCTACTTCAAGCCAGTTGAACTGGTTCCAGCTAGCCATTGCCTGTATTCAGCCACATAGACCTTCCCTCTGGAGCCTTCTGCTTCATGGCTACACCTAACTTGGTGAGATGGCATCATCTAACGCCCACCCGAGATGACTGTCAGCAATTCCTCTGAGTTCCGCATTTTGACTGACAAAAAATTGGACTCTCAGATCTGACAAATGAGTTGCCACAGTATTTCCCAAAGGTCACTCTGCCTAGAAACCTAAAATCAGCCAAATGCCTCTCAAAAACATCAAAAAGGGGGGCAAAAAGCCCATCAAACACTGTTACCCAGAAACCTGATTTAAAAAGAAAACACCTGATGTTTGTAAGAAAATCTACTCTGATAAATGACCATATCCTCTGGACATGCATTATAAAGACTATCAACACTAAAAAAAAATGCCCATTCAGATTAAAAGATAAGAACTCTCAAAACCTTCAACCTGGATCAAATGACAATACTTTCATCAGTCTGATGGGCTCTGACTAGGCCACACCGGGCTTCCTTTTTCAGCTGGACCACCAGGAGCCCAAAGTACCATCATCAGGGCAACTAGGACTCTTACCTCTCACCCCTTCTGCCCGGCACAAACTTGCAGCCTAGAAGACATCTTCTGTGTAAGCCAGTCCTCATACTGCTTTCGGGAAGAGATTTCCTTTCCAAGTTAGAAGTAACCATCTCCTCTGCACCAAGCCAGTCAGCCTACCTCCCTCTCATTTGACCTTGCACTTGCAACTCTGACTGTTCCCTGAGAGGAAGGCAATACCTGCATCAGCCTGTGACAGATAACTGCAGTCCTGAAGTTCTGAAAATTCTCCTCCTAGAGGTATGAACTAAGGACTCACCTCCAGGCCTGGCCATCAATCATGCCATGACCCCACCACTGCTGTCAGATGTTATGGGAAGCATAAACAGGCATGCAGCCACACACTGGCCTTTTAGCCACCTTGAGCAAGATCTCCATGCCATCAACAACGCAGCCATCACTTTGCACTCTGTGGTTCCTGACATTTAAAAGATGCCTTCCTCTGCCTGTGAGTTGCTCCCATAAGCCCCTTCAACTGGGAAAATCCTGAGACAAAAAGGCCAGTTCACTTGGATTCAATTGTCATAGGGTTAAGGATTCTTCTACTATTTTCAGGGAGGCCCTCGCCATCACAGTTCCCCATGAAAGGAAAAAATGAGGCTTCAAAATTACAAAATCTCTGTAGACTGTCAAATTGCTAAAATACACCCTCCTGCCTGTAAAGTTAGTTCAGGATCTCCAGGCTGACAATGCCACTGCAATTGCCTCAGTCTTCTGCCACCCATATCCTGCTGGTACACCTGCCTCGACCTAAAGATGCCTTCTTCTGCCTCCAGTTGGCTCCTGTCAGCCTGTGCCTCTTTGCAAAGACCCCAGTTCTGGATTCAAAAGTTAACTGACCTGGACTCAACCTCCCAGAGGATAAGATCACCACACTTCTATATGCTTATTTAAACTGTCAGTCCCTGGGAACACCCAGTGACCTCTAAGGGCTGTCCTACCTTGCCTCTGCACTCTAACAGCTACTGTCCCTCTGATCAAGAAAGATGACAAGCTCATCTCAGACCGAGATCTGGGTGACACATCCTGTCCTGGGATGAACCATTTTAAAAGATGGACTCCTTGATAGATGCTAAGTATACTGTGTTTATGGATGGAAGTAGCTCTATTAGGAATGAAGTCTGACAGGATAGATATGCTATGGTCACCTTGGACAAAACTGTTTTGGCCAAAACTCTCCTGCAGGGATGATCTGCACAGCAAACTGCTTCCTGCTGCTGTTTGGAATCCTGCCACCAAGGATGCAAAATAATCTGGCCCAGAGCCTAAGCCCCGTCCGGGGATCAAATTGACTGAAACATCAACCCCAGCCACCAGATCTGTCCCCATTGTATATTCTACAAGCTCAAGCTGCTGCCCTGGCACCTGTACCCCTGTAGCCAGCACAGCTTCAGCATCTGTGTCACCCTGACCTCATACATTAGAGCACACTCTCCCCATTTAAAGATAGCTAGATAGATTAAACAGAAACAGCTTGTATTCAGTTTAAAAAAAAAAAAACCCAGCTAATGCTGTAGACATTCCTATACACGCATATAACCCAGGTACATATTAACTACAAGTTTCAGAAATCCAGCCTTAGATCTGCAGAAAATTTGACCTGCATAGCTCTTCCAAGGTTCATTTTAAAGAGACATCGCACTCAAAGCCCTGCTCTGGTCACTCCAGACAGCTGCTGACCAGTCTACCCACAGTTCACAGGATTGCTCCATACCTACTCCCCTTGAGTTTTATGTCTTCTCAGGCTGCTTATCCCAGTCCTTGCTTCCCTGCCCACCTGCTAGCTGGTGTTTTGTTTTGTTTTGTTTTGTTTTGTCTTAAACTCTATGGACAGTTGCCCCAAGAGAGTAGAACAATCAATGAAACACCTGACCAAGATCTGATGAACATCCAAGACATATTGGATGCTCTCTTAGGTCAGATTAACTCCTTCTCTCCCTCATCAGAGTCAACTTAGGGGGAAACCCTATAATCAGGGAAACAAACCACACACTCCTGGTGGAAAAACTTTCAGTCTTGAGGACTTTGGCTAGGGCCCATCCTAAGATCACTGATAACCCTAATATTACTGCGTCTAGTTGGGCCTTGTCTCAGAAGATCACATGGAACATGTCCAACAGAGATTTGCCGGGGAAACTAAAAGAGGGGTAAATGTAGTAGGAAATGCACCCCCCGACCGGGCCGGTATACTTCAGTTTGTTAGTTGCCCAGGTAATAGTTCCTGGTCCAGTTCTGGTTGTTCCTGTCTCTTGGAAATGGTTGATTACTATGATGCATAGCTGGTCACTATGATGCACGTTGTAAGAACCAATCCCCAATGGACAAGCCATTCTACCTCTGTATTTCCTCCTTATCTCTTATAAACCCTAGACTACCAGAGATCAGAGCCTGATATTTTTGGAATGATTCTGATCAGCATCCATTGACCTAAATAAATCTGCCTCCAAATCCTGAGTGTTGTTTCTGTTTGCCTTGCAATGTCCTCTAGAAAATAAAATAGGACTTGATATTCCTCAAACTTTTAGCACACAAAGTTGCTATTATATTACTCTACTTTTTTTCAGTTTATTTAAAACATATAAAACCTTCACTCTTCAACCAAAGGGTCTATAATCAAATCCCAGATTATAGAATCAATACTATAATAGTTATTTAGGTTTAATTTTTTAAAAACATTTTTGGGTTTTTTTTTTTTGAGACTCGTTATTGCTGTATAGTTTACGCTAGCTCTGAACTCAGTATGTAGTCCAGGCTGGCCTCGAACTTGTGGATATCCTCCTGCCTCAGTCTCCCAAGTGCTGATATTACAGATGTGCACCTTCATGCCTAGTTAAGTTTAATATTATTTGAAAAAGATCTTCACTGAATTTTTAAGAGAAAAAAGTTCAATATTCTAATAAACTTACCTTCGTTTACAAATCAGGAACCACAAAGCTGAGGCCAGTGCAAAGAAACCAATTATCAAACTAACAGCACAAGCAGCCAGAAAATAAATTAAGTAGTTAAGCAATCCTACAAAAAATAATAAAAGATTATTTGATAGAAGTATCTTTATTCTCTAGATGAATTAAATTACAGAATATTTTAGATTACTGAATACAATAATTTAGTGTTGAGACTGACCAGGAGATTGAGTCTGACCTGAATTCTAGTCCCCTGTGATTCTAATAAATTCAAATACCATATGTTAGATAATGGCAGAGACATCTTGCAGATTAGCTTCCAAGGCACATTTCTATGACCCTGCCATGATTTGAAATAGTACTTTTATGTAATCAAATGTAATAAAAATATTAAAATACATCTAATTTATGTTATTAGTTGTCTCTTGGGAGAAACCAGAGAAATGGGATTATGTATGGAATAGACACTTAAGACATTGTAATGATTTACTTCTTTATAAAAAAATTAAGATCTTTCATGGTGGCACACGTCTGTAACTCCAGTTACTAGGAAAATGAAGGCAGAAGAATTGCGAGTTTGAGGCCAGCCTGAACAATTTAGTGAGACCTTCTCTCCAAAAAAGAGGGGACTGAGGGTGTGTCTCAGGGGTGAGTGCTTGCCTAGCATGTGTGAGGCCCTGGGATAGATCCGCAGTACTCTAAAAACAAAAGCACAACAGCGAAGATTTGTTGGCCAAAAAATTATTCATTTAGGAGAACATTATACATGGGTGTTTGCTATATTGTCCTTTCACTCTTCTGATTTTTCTCAGATATTTAAAAAATGTAAAGACAGTATCTCAATATTTTAAAAAATACAGAAAAGAAAAAGAAACATTTTTGTAAGGAAAATAACACTGGCTATCCTGGGGTATAAACTTAGGGGCAAAATTTTTACTCCAGATTTTCAAACACTGTACCATGAATATCTTAGAAAGATCAGAAAATAAGAAACTTCATATGCAATTCTTGATTCTTTTACTTAAATGGTGCAAATCTTTTTGTAGCACTTCTATTTTTGTCAATGTGTTTATACCCCACTTAGCTTTCAACTCCTGAGGATCACTACTCTTCTCTCTATTCCTTTAAAAAAAAAATTCCCTATTAGAGCAGAGAAATTCCACTTTACTATGGAATGACAAGTTATATATTTGTTAATACCTTCAAGTTCCTGATTCAGATGGATCATTTATATCTCAGGGGAATTTCCACGGGGAATAATGAAGTTGAGTTTCCAGACCACTTTATCAAGGAACTGACAAATTACACATTTACTAACACCTTCAAGGCATACTTTCTCTCTAAATTTGTAAAATGAGCAGACTTGACAGGCATCACTAATTTCTGATAATATAACAGATGTTGTACAAAGATGGTATTTTTGTTTCTCGAGTGTTCTTTCTATCCGATGACTTCTCATTTTCAGCAGTCACTTTATGATACCACCCTATTTTCCATTACTAATCATTATCACAATCTTGCTATATTGGTTTACTGTCTGTTGTCTGTCCTTTATCATAGGATGAGTCTTTTTCATTATGGTGTTTTCAGAACCTAGAGCACTAACTGGAGCGTTGCCGCATTTCAGTCTCAGGTTTTTGTTGTTTGTAAATTATTTACTCCAATTCAACAAATATCTTTTTTTTTTTTTAAGGATCCAATTCAACAAATATCTATTGAACACCAATAAGTGAGAAATACTGTGTGGAGCACAAAGGGGTGGGAAACAAAGGAGCCATTAAAGTAAGAATTAGTCCCCACCCTGAGGTTTAAACATCTACGAAGAAATAAAAGCACGGCGAGTACATAAACAGTCATAAAGATGACCATATTTGAGGTGGATTGACAGCTGGTGGTCAACTTGTAACATCCAGCTGAACTGAAAGAGCACGGTGCTGGGTGTGGGAGGCCCACCGGAGGACTGCGGCCAACAACATGAAAAGGAGAACTGAAGAGGAAGGGGTGGTGCTGTTGGTTCTCCTGTAGGAATTTGTCATGCTGGCTTTCCTGATATGAACTTGGCTGTTCTCATTGGAGGAGCTTGGGACCTTGTTGCCCAGGATGGCTGTGGTAATTTTCAGGGGAGCTCTGGTCCTTACTTTGAGCTTTGCTTCCTGGCTCCAGTGCAGATCCCTCAGCCTGCTGGCACAGATCCTCATCCTACTGGCACAGACTTTCTAGCATCCACCACTGACATTTGGGCCTTTCCAGCACGGATCCATGAAACATGAGACAATGTCACTGGCTCTAGGACTCCAACTGGACTCATGCAAGACTTTGCCATGGGATCCAGGCCCAGGCCTTCGGCTGGATTCCTTGGGTCTTTAGTGTGGGGATAGATTTCCTGCACTCTTTTGTATTTGACTCTTTGGGTGACTACTGTAAAAACATATAAATATATTTGTATATAAATTTATATATATTTATAGTTATATAAAAATATATTTATTTAAATATAAATATATAAGTTATGTGTACTGTATTAAATTGTTTCCCTTGCAAACTCTGACTACAACAACATTGATTTTTTTGTCTTTTTTTTTTCTTGAGACAGGGTCTCGCTATGTAGTTCAGGTGTACCTTGAACTCACTATGTAGTTCAAGCTGGCCTCAAACTCACAGTGATCCTCCTGCCACAGCCTCCCAAGTGCTGGGATTACAGGTGTGAACCACCATGCTTGGCACCACATTGATTTTTAATGGTTTGTGTCTGCTTTGATTGGATGTAAGTCTAACTGGATCTGTGAACCCGCAAAAGTTATTTATTGGTTGAATTTTAACGTTTTCACTTTAATAATGGGAATCATAGTACCTATATCAAAGAAATACATTAAGAAATAAATCAGAAAATGTTGTAAGAAATTAATAATACCATAAATGGAAAGATATCTCAAACTTAAACTGTATATACCAGATCATAGACAGACCCAGCTATTTCTCTTCTCAGTATCTTCCTGAAAGAATTAAAAACATCATATCACAGTGATATATGCACACTCATGTTTATAGCAGCACAATCTGTAACAGGTAAATCTTGGAAACAACCAAAATGCCCATTAACTAATGAATGGATAAAGAAAATGTGTTTTTTTATATTTATAATGGAGTACTACTCTTTCATGAAGAAGGATAAGCTGGAGATATATCTAGGTAAATATATGCACCTGAGGCCATTCTCTTAAGTGAAATAAATCAGACACACATGTAAATACTGCACTGTTTCTCTGGTCTGAAAAACTGAAAGTATAAACAAGGACTAAAATGTATAATACATATTGTGAAATAGAAAGAAAATGTCCAAATGGGAAGGGGAACTTGAGACGGGGGAGGAAGGGAAAAAATGATGAGAAAAGAAGGAAAAAATGGAAACAAAGCTTTTATAAATAGGGAAGGAAAGAGGAGTTGAAGCGGGGGTGGGGTAATGGGAAAAAAGAAGCGTGAAGTTATATCATGTACAGGTACAAATTCCCTATAGTAAATGTGATCATTATGTATACTTCAAATGTACCAATAAACTTAATCAAAAAATTAATAATATAATCAATGGAAACTTAAAATGTATACACCAGATCATAAACAAGACTCAAGTTTTATATTATCATTATTGCACGCATCACTTTTTCTGACAATAATAAATTAAATTTCTAAATTAGTCCTAAAATATAGCCTAAGAAAAGGTCTTATGCATGTGGAAAATTAAAAGCATACTTAAATAATTCATTCATTAAAGAATAAATAAATGAAAATTAGAAAATATATTAAAGTAGACAATAATGAAAGTATTAGGTGTAAATTCTTGCAGCAACAGAGCTCAGATAAATTTAAAGAGAATGGTTAGGCCTAAATGCATATATTAAGAAGCGAAGGTTGAAAAGCAATGAAAACTACATCCAAACTACAAGTTGAAAAAAGACCAGCAAAATAAACTCAAAGAAAATAGAGAATAAAATAATAAAAGAGCAGAAATGAATGAAATAAAACTAATATTCTGGTAGATATTAAAACTGACCAATCTCTGGTAAGATTAACCAAATGAGAAATACTGAAGGCATAAACAGTATTTAAAACAAAGATAAACAAAGTATACAGTAAAATAATTACATTTATATTTTAAGATAATATCTCAACTATTTTCCCTCTTTTATGGTCAAACTTAATTTATTTTAAGAGAGATTTTCCTATCTATTACATTTGTCATCAGATTATGAGGACTTGGGGCTGGGGATTTAGCTCAGCGGCAAAAGCGCCTGCCTGGCAAGCGCAAGGTCGTGAGTTCGGTTCCCGGTACCGGAGAAAAACCAAAAAAAAAAAAAAAAAAAAAAAAAAAAACAGATTATGAGGACTTCCAATATGTCTGTTCTATTCATATGTGTGTGTGCATGTGCATGTGTGTGTTTTTGTATCTCAAGAATTAAATACAGTAAAGCTCACATTTTATTTAAAAAAATAAAACAAAGATAAAAAATAATTATAGACATGGCAGAGTTAAAATAAGAAAATGCGTTCCATAAATTTTTCTGTTTTAACTCTATATGAAATGATGTGTGTCTAAAAAGCAACTTACAAAAAGTTCAAGAGTCAAGAAGCAATAGGTGGAGGCAGGGCCTCACTAATTTTCCCAGACTAGGTTCAAATTTGCGATCCTCCTGCCTCAACTTTCCAGAGTGCTGGGATTACAGATGTGTGCTGCCATATCCAGCTAAACAACTTATTTCTTTATAAAACTGGGTTTTTAAAACATTTTTGCTGATTAAAAAAGCAATTCATATTTACTATAAAAAACAAAATCAAGCACTAAAGAATCTAAGTAGAAAATGTTGCATCCAAAATTGCTATATCCTAGAGAACATTATTTTATCTCTATATTGTTTTCTAAAATTTTAAATATAAAGAAACATGAATATTCACATAAGTCAAATTAAATGATACTATGGAAGACTGAATTTTTCAAAGATGGCTACAACAACGTGCCTAACTTCAGTCCTCTTCCACGAGTGTCCTTGCTGCTCTTCGAAAGAGATGCTATTCCTCCACGCGCCTGAAGCTGAGTAGGCTTTTGGACCACTTCAGTCAGTAGCGTATGACTGAAATAATGTTGTATCAGTTCTGTGCATAGTTCTTAACTGGACTGGAAACTTTCCCTTTCTCCTTCGTGGGGGCCAGCCACTGTGTTAGAAGCAGGACTCTCTCCTCAGGAGTGCTGTGAGGAAGCCCCAGAAAGGCTGAATAAAGAGTGTTCTTGTTGAGAGGAGAAGAAGGCAAAGTGCACCCAAGCACCAGACATCTTGGGAGTGGGTCTGTCTGTTCCAGTTCACCCAGCTGATTCTATCTGGACCCAAGACAAACCATCCAGCAGAGCCCTTGGGAACCTTGATCTACTAAATCAGAAGCAGGAAAAAAACCCACCAAAAAATATAGGAGCACAATAAATAAATTTCTTTAAATATCAAAAAATAAGTAATAGAAAACCCAAGTGAACATGATGCATCTACTAAACAATCAGCAGTTACAAAATTTCCCTCAAAGAAAACAGCAAGCCCTGAAACTTTACAATTCTACAGTATACCCACGATTCAACAATTTCTTATCTTATACAATCTCTTCCAGAGAACAGAAAGAGACTGTTGGCTGTTTGTCCAAGTACATTTTTCTTTGTTTTCAAGCTAAAAGCTGGACTATGTGTCCCAGGTTCACATACCATTAGATGGAGCCATGTGACTGAGTTTGGACCAATGGAATCTGAGTGGCAGTGATGTCACAAAAACCTCTTGAGCACTCTGCTCTGCCTTTTCCCCTGACTGGGACAGAGATGATTCTCAGGGAAACCTTGGAAGCCATGTATGGATATCACTTTCCTTTTGTCTCCATAACAAAACACCTGATGCCAACAACCTAAAGGAGGAGAGGTTTACTGTGGTTCCTGGTTTTTTGAGGGTTCAGTCCATAGTTGGCTGGCTCCACGGTAGGAAGAGCGTGGCATAAGGGTATGGTAAAGGAAAGATGCTCAAGTCATGGTGAGCAAGAAGCAGAGAGAGAAGAGAGGAGCCAGGGAGGGAGAGATGCCCTTTAGGTCATCTTGCTGTGAACCTCCTCTAACCGGGCCCTGCCTCCTAACAAGACCATCTGGGGTGCCCTCTGAGCCAAACACCTAAAAGCTCCGCCTCTGAGTGCAGGATGCTTTGGGTGGCATTCTCCATCTAAACTACAACAATATGGATCTAGATTCTGTAATCTAATGGTTTATATGGATAGTCAAAGGGGCTTTACAAACCATCTCTCAGATGACTTCATTTCAAGTGAAATCCAATGGAATATATAGATATTTAGTCAGTTCTTTCTCTTGTCCTTCACTGCAGGCATTTTAAACTTTCTTCTTTTTGCCTAAGTTTTCAACCCCATCTACCCCTAGCTTTAATTTCAGATTAACTCTTACCTCTGCTGCTTTCAAGCATGTTTTCCTCACACATTTAAATATGTTATAAGGTATGGTGGTGCATGCTTGTAATACCAATTATTCAGAAGACTAAGGTAGGAGGAGCACAAGTTTGAGGCCAGCCTGGACAATGGAGTGAGACCTGCAGTTATAAATTTTGCAGTTATGTTAATTGAATAGAATTTGAACTTTGTATAAAACAGGTTTCTTCTTGTACTCTTAAATAACTTGTACCATCTTTTGTCAGAATTGACAAGAAACATTACTATATTTGCTATAAGCTTGTTTTTTCTTTCCTACCTTTATTCCTTTTACTTTTTTTTTTTTTTGCTATAAGATTTTTTACGAGGGATGCATTTCCCACACCACCAGATTGTCCCTAAATAAAATTCCACATATAAAACTATTTTTTTCTATTAAGGAGAATGACATATCTGACATTTTTCCTTTCACATTTTGGCTTATATGAAGCTCAGAGTTGTTTTAGTTTAAATATAGATATTATGTAGACATTATATTTTTAAAAATATTTGCCAATCCTGAATCTTTACTCTTTACTGTATTTTAGAATATTTTTAGCTATAAGACTTTGTTGTAAGTTATATTATAATCATTACATAAAAAAATACCTCATGCCCTAAAGTTAGTGACCTGGCCTTAATATCACACACCAGAAAGAATAGTTTAATATCAATTATGACAAAATCAATATTTCTACTGATAAAAAATACAGTACTGTCCATTTTCCAAGTGGATAATACTAAATGATTTCTTTAATTAGATCTGTATCTTCAATTATGTGTGGGTTTTATAGCTAATTCTTCTTATGATGTCTACCTGGACATGTTATTAAAAATCAGATGGGCTGCCAGCTGTGGTGGTGCATTTTTTTAATCCCTGCTACTTGGTCAGTTGAGGCAGAAGGATCTCAAGTCAAATCCAGCTTGGGGGGCTGGGGATTTAGCTCAGCGGCAAAGCGCCTGCCTGGCAAGTGCAAGGTCGTGAGTTCAGTTCCTGGTACCGGAGAAAAACCAAAAAAAAAAAAAAAAAAAAAATCCAGCTTGGGCAACTTAGTGAGATTCTCTCAAGACAAAATAAGAAGGCCTGGAAATGTGTAGCTTAATGATAGAGTATTTGCCTACCATGTATGAGGCCCTGAGTTCAATTCCTAATAATGAGAGAAAGAGAGACAGACAGACAGACAGACACAGACCAACAAAGAAAAAAAATCAGATGGGCATAAGGTATATGCAAATCTTGTATGATAGATGCCAAGCTATAACAAAAATTCTTCACAAAAACAGTTTAGGTAAAAATAACCTGTAGCATGTTCAATTAACAACAAACAAAATATAAAAATAGAAACTTTTCTGGTACAAAAGAAAATGTAGTCATTGCATATCTTCTTAGAACTAACCTTTTTATTGTAAAGACAGGTTAGTCTTAGTGGACAAGGCAAATTAACTTCAAGTCAGAAGTTCTGACTTGAATGCTGATTCTGCCTCTTGACATTTACCCCAGGAAACTTTGGAAATATTATAGGAGCCACTGAATAAAATAACTAAAAGTTGGAAAGTTATTAAACTATTATTATCAGTATGGGTAAGAATAAAAGCCAACTTCCTTAATTCTCAAAATAGATAATCTATTTTATTACCATATACCTACCACCTAAAATATTCTGATTTTCCCTTTTTTAATTTTCCCTTAAGAAGTAATTGATGACTTTGTATCCTGCCCAATAGTTATTTTAAACTGATTTCTACCTGGCCAAAGTCAGTGCACACAAATAAAATTTAAAATACTAAAGATGGAATAAGCAAGTATTACTTGTATTAAGTGACTCTACCTAAATGACAACAGATTAGTATTTCTAAGGAAATGCCTTAATGTAATAAATTCTATTTTAATAGTATTTGTTCAAGCAAAGATCTAATAAGGACATTATTACATAGGGAAGAATTATGTGAATATTAACTATTTTATACACTATAATCCCTCATATAACAAACTTCTTTTAGAATTTAATATTAAAAAACATTCTTATTAGATCAACTGTCAACTGTGTTCCTTTATCAGATAATAGGAATTATATGCCCAGTATTTTTTGCTCTGTATACCAGAAAGGTTAGCTAAAATTCCACGTATGATTATGGAAATTATTTTAACTCAAATTTTAGGCAGGCACTTGTGCCACTGAACTATATTCTCAGCCCTGGACTCAAATTTTAAAACTGACTTTTCTAATCCAATTTCTAGTTTTCATTTTTATTTCGTTATCCAATCTATTATATATGACTTTTACTTGAAAATTACTTTAAAATTGCTGTTAAAAGAGGTAAGATACACAGACAAACAGTAAGCAAATTCCAGCAAAATTTTAAAAATTGTACTTTGTATGTACAAGAAAAATCCATGCTTAAATAAATTGAGTTTGCTAACTGGCACACAGTAGGAATATAACTGTACAGGGTTTATATTCCCATTTGAAAAATCAGTACACAAAGGAAGTGAAATTCACAAATTCTACACATATTTACTGTGTGTCTACCATGTGTCAAGACTGACCTAGCAGCCAGTTATACCGTGGTAAACAAGGTAAGTTCCTAGGATTTATATTTTAGTAAAAAGGGACAAATAATAAGCACATAGGCAAATGTCTTAGTTACTGTTCTTGTTGCTGAGATAAAATACCAGACACCCAAAGTTAAGAGGAAAAGTATATTGTAGCTCAGTTTGTAAAGGTTTCAGTTCATAACTGGCTGGCTCCAAGGTAGGGTGGCATGGCAGAGGGGCATCTCAGAGGAGAAAACAGTTCATGGTGGGAGGATGGCAGCAAAGCAGTAAAGTAGCAAAACAGTAAAGTACGAAGCAGCAAGCAGCAGCCCTCTTTCTGTCCCTTATATTCTACTCAGGCTACCTACCATTAGGGCAGGCATCACTCACACCCAGAGTGGGCACCTTTAACGCTAGCATCAAACTATTAATCCCAGCATTACACACCATAGATCCAGCCATCTCTGAAAACTCCACCTACAACCACTTGAGGATTTGGGGGACATCTAGATCCAAGCCATAACAGCAAATAAGATACTTTTAGAGATTGATAAAGGTCTCGAGGAGGGCCCAGGGATGTAGCTCAGTGGCACAGCACCTGCCTGGCAAGCACGAGGTTGTGAGTTCAATTCTTGGTACCAAAAAAAAAAAAAAAAAAAGGAAAGAAAAAGTCTCAAGGAAATCAGGCAATCGCCAGGTGAAAGATGTAAAGAAGGTCTCAAGAAAATATGTGTTCTCATACTATCATCTGTAGAGAGATATGAATTGTCAGCTTCAAAGGGACACATATTGTCCCTGATTCAATCACTGGTAACATTTTTCAAATAGTTCTAGGGAGCCTTGTTTAAGGATATAAAAATAAATATTGAACAGTATGATAGTACTGGGGAACAAGAGAAATCTGTTGACTTCATCAAGATAGTCTTTAGTTTTATCCCCCAATTATTCTCTGAATTTGCTTAGGTTCCCTCACTGTAACCTTTCTTCCAAAAAGTCAGGTACAGACCAAAGGATAAACATACTCCACTGTCTGGTATAGCACTGTGTTAGGTGTTAGTTTCTCTGACTTGAATTAAGATACAATGTCACTGAGGTCATTGTTTGTTTTCTTCATGCAGTTGTAGCATCCTCTGGTGGGCAGTCACTTATTTTATGGCTTTCAAGAAATAGCTTTTTTTTACCTTTTGCTACAGAAATAAAATATACTTCATAAAATAAAAAATGCTTCATAATTTTCATTAAATTACCAACTTAATAAAGCATCATGTTAGGACTTACTGTCAAATATAAACAAATTACTTGAGAAAAAAGAAATTAAATAAGTATAAATAATACTGTTCTTACTAATAAATACACTATTTGAAAGCTTTCCATTCAAATTTTAAGAAAACAAAGTTTTCACACAATTTAAATTCTTTAATTGTGCATATCATTTTTTTTTCCCCCCTCCGGTACCGGGAACCGAACTCACGACCTTGCGCTTGCCAGGCAGGCGCTTTTGCCACTGAGCTAAATCCCCAGCCCCTGTGCATATCATTTTGACTTGTTACATTTACATTTAAAATCTATTAAAAATTTTTAAAGTACAAGTGGAAAATGTAAAATAAATTATTTAAGTATAATTTTATTCCAAGAAATAAATTACTTATGATAAAGCATTGCAACTTATAAAACAAATAACAAAGATCATATAGGATGCTTTATGGCCCAATCAGTAAAGATACTGATAATATATGAGACCATATATAAAAGGC